AAAAAAAAAAAAAAAAAAAAAAAAAAAAAGACTTAAGTCCATGCAGTTTGCTGAGAAGTCCATCATTTTGTCCTTCTTTGTGACTGCACAATATTCCATCGTGCATAGGTACTGCCTTTTTAATCCAGTCTACTTTCAATTCCATGTTTTGCTGTTGTGAATAGTGCTGCAATGAAAACATTTTTGACCGTTGAATAAGTTTGGGGATAATGGATTAAACAGTCAAAATCATCAATGGCCAGGCAGGACTTTTCAGTGTTTTTAATATCCTCGGGTGTGTTTTAAGCATAGAAATGTGTAATACTTCCTAAACCGTAGAGCTAGAAACACAGACCGCAGCACGCCGCGTAAAGGGAATCGCTTCAGGGAACACACTTTGTGTCCTAGAAGCAGTGTCAGCCTTGCAGTCTGAGATACCTGGTTTCAAACCCTGCCACGACCACTCCGTAGCTATTGACAGTGAACAGACAGTGTCTCAGCCGCCTTCCACCCTGAGTGGGTAACTTGCCAGGGTCCGTGGGCGGTCTCCACCAGCTCCTACTGTCCCCTGGAAGGAGCCTGGGGAGGGAGCTGGGAGCCAGGCCAGGGCTGCTTCCTCACCCTGCAGCTCCCGACTGTCAAGGCAGAGCAGGGCAGAGGAGAGCACCCAGGCCAGAATCAGCACGAGGCGGGTGCTGCCATGGCCTCCGGCAGGCTGGTCCCTCTCCAGTCCCACGCCCGCCTCCTGTCCAAGAAGAACCTTGCGTTCCTGGGCCCTCTGGCACCTGTCCCCGACAGCCCTGAGGGAGGGTGACTCGTTCTCTCGGTGGGGCGGAGCGGGAGGCTGTCCAGTCGCCTGCACATCCCACGTGAGTCCAGGAAGTGAGCTCAGGTGTCGAAACCAGAATGTTTGCTCTGAATGGATAACTGCATGCCAGTTACCCAGGGGCGGGAACCCCAGACGGGAATGCCAAACACGACCGACGATGCCCCGTCACCCCCAAATAAACATGGAACGCAAATAAAAATGCACACTCGGCCAGGCAGGACGGCATGGCTTTACCCCTGTGATATGGAAATGCCACATCTTCCTTGAGTCTTAGCCCCCCAGAACCCTTTCCAGTAGCCTGGATGGTTGGTTTCAGCCCCTTCTGCAGACGACAAAGCTGAGGCTCAGAGAGATGTGTGCCGTGAGGGAGTTCGGGCGTCTTCGTGCCACCACCCTAATCCAGACCTTGCCCGCCCTGGCTGATGGCCACCCCTCCCCTCTCCAGGCAAATGGGAGAAGCCCTTCGAGCCTGAGCTCACCACGGAGGACGACTTCCACGTGGACTCGGCGACCACCGTGCGGACGCCCATGATGAGTCGCCTGGGCATGTTTGACGTCCGCCACTGTGAGAAGCTGTCCAGCTGGGTGCTGCAGATGGACTACCTGGGCAACGCCACCGCCGTCTTCTTCCTGCCCGACGAGGGCAAGCTGCACCACCTGGAGCGTACGCTCAGCAAGGATGACCTCCACAAGTTCCTAGAAGACAGATTCAAGAGGTGATGCCCCGCAGGGATGGCCCGGAGGCTGCGCGGGCCCCCGAGCCATGATGGGACTGAGGCCTGTGAGCCCTGGCCAGAAGGTGGGAGGGAGGACCCCGCCTTCCTCCGTCACTGCCAAGTGCATAACCTTGTGCTTCCAGACAGAGGCCCCCACTGGGCTCAGGAAGCGCCAGCCAGGCTCTGGGACAGGGGCAGTACCCAGGGGGGAGGTGGCAACATCCTGTCCCCGGGTCTTCCCTCCCGGCATGGCCACTGTCCTTCCTCACTGGCTGGGGCCGAGACAGCAGTGCCAGTCCATGTTCTGGAGGAACCTAGATGCAAGGTCGGGCGTCCTGGCAAAGGCAGCTGTCCAGGGTGGAGGCCAAGGGTAGAATGACCCTGGGTGGACAGAGAAGAGCCTAGGTGACGAGGCCCGGACAAGCAGGCGCCAGGGTTGGAGTGTCCAGGACACGCGTGCCGATGCTTGGGCTGCCCTGTCAGTGGTCAGGGTGGTTGGATCGAGAGCCCAGTCGTCAATGAAACCTGAGCGCGTGCCCCTCGAGTGCATGTCTGTGCATTCTGCCTGGCTGCCGCCCGATCACTGGGAACCCTGCCACAGACATGAGGACGCAAAAGGCATCGGGTCAGCAACACGCTAGAAGGCTGAGCCCCACGCCCCACCCCGCTCCCCCCTGAGCCCCCTAGGGCTTGAGAAAGGAGAGACGGGGAGACTGGAACTGGCCCCAGAGAGCCTGGAGCCAGGCTGCCTGCTCACACCAGATCCATCTAGGGAGTTGCTTTTCCCCATGGAAAAGGAGAGCTGGGCATGCGGCCTGGCCTCGACACCCTTCTGTCCTTCACTGGCAGGTGTCACTGGGCTCCTGCCACCACGCCCCTCGTTCCCATGGGTGTCCAGCCCTGGGGATAGTCCAGACTGGGGACCAGGTGACCAAACACTGCAGGGCAAGATGAGACACGCTTTGAGGAAGACACTCAGACATTGCCTGGAGAGCTTCTCGGAGAAGGTGGCATTTCAGAAGCTACCCGGACAAGACGGTCCCTTAAATGCGAACCTTCTTTGACTCTATGTGTCAAGGGGCTAAAAGCAGATCACACAAGGCCAACTTTTGGTCTAGAGGAGGAGAGGACACAGCACTAAGCAGAAAAATATTTCCTATTGGTTTTAGAGAATCTGTGAAGTAGGAAAAATAACCAGAAACGAAAACATGATGTGGGTGGTGAGTCCCAGAACCAGAGAAATGCTTGACACCCCTGCATTTTTTTCCTGTATTACAGGTCTGCTCAGTTATATTTGCCCAAGATGACTGTTTCTGGAACCTACGATCTGAAGACAGTCCTGGGTGAGATGGGCGTCACCAAGGTCTTCAGCAACAAGGCTGACCTCTCAGGGGTCACGGAGGACGCAGCCCTGAAGCTCTCCAAGGTGAGATCACCCCACGACCGCGTGGCCCCTGGTGAGGCTTGGGCAGAACACGGGAGCCGGTGCCGTTCGGTTGGAGGACTGAGGAAGGGGCCCAGAGACACAATAAAGACCCAGATGGGCAGAGGGTGCCCCGACTCGCGGGACGGGGCGTGGCCAGACGGCTGAGGGGGCAGGGTCTCCCGTGCTGGCAGCATTAGGGCCTCCCCTGGGTCACCCGGCCCTTCTTCCTCTCTGTTTAGACTTTGGGCCTCAACTTCTCCATATTTACACAGACACACGGGCTTGGGGACTCTGGAGGACTTCGCCCCTTCCTCCTACGAGATCTGGACGCACGGGCAAATCGCCAAGCCTGAACGAGGGTGTTCTCTCAGCTGAATGCCACTTAGTTAGGAAAGTCCGGGGTGCCCAAAGAACAAGTCAGCTCCACGCACGGCTGCCTGGCCGCCGGGTCCGGGCCCCGAGAAGGGCCCGCCAGAGTCCCCGTCCCCAGGGAGCGTAACGGACCCACACGCCGGAGTCCAGGGTCCTGCGGGCCGACACGGAGCGTGAACGCTCCTCCCCTCTGAGGGGTGTGGGCTCCCCAGGGGGAGAGACCCGGTCGGGAAGGTGGGAAGGGGCCAGCCGGGGGAGCTGGGAGAGTCAGACCCAGCCTGGAGAGAGAGAAAGGCCCAGTGACCGCGGTCAGGGAGGGCGCCACGGGCCGGGCCCATCCAGGGAAAGCGAAGCCCAGGGGTGCACCCCAGGACAAAGCCCCCCCAGGGGCCGCTCCCAGCCGGGTCGAAGCCACAGCTCAGCCTCTGGACACGCCTCTGTCTCTCTCCCCTCCAGGCCGTGCACAAGGCTGTGCTGACCGTAGACGAGAGAGGAACGGAAGCCGCTGGGGCCACCTTTCTTGAAGCCATACCCATGTCTATTCCCCCCGAGGTCAAGTTCGACAGGCCCTTCCTCATGATGCTTTTTGACCAAAACACCGAGAGTCCGCTCTTCATGGGCAGAGTGATGGACCCCACTCAGAAATAACCGCCATCAGCACCCACCGGTTGGCCAGGCCCTGCGGTGTCATTAAAGAAAGCCTGCCCGGCCACACCTGCGAGGCGGCAAATCCTCCCCGGTGTGTCTGCGTCCTCCTTTGGCCTCGAGGCTGTGAGGGTTCAGGGCTCAGCACTCTCTGGGCTTCCCCGGGTGCTGTTCGCGGAGCACCTGGGCTGCCAGGGTCCCGTCGGGCTGGTGGAGGAGACCAGACCTCCCTCTGCGGGCCTGGGTCCACGTCTGTGGAAGACGCTGGGCTCTGAGCTCGTGTCTGGGAATCCCCCGAGCCCAGGCCCCAAGAGCGTCCCCTTGTCCTCCCTAGTGCCCCCTAGCTGCAGACCCACAGTCCCTCACCTGCCGGGCCGGGCTGTGCCCACCCTAAGGCGACCCTCCTGGGGCTCGGAGCTGCCCACCCATGCCTGGCCTGGGTGGCAGCGTCTGCCGCCACAGAGGGGGAAACCATGTCCCCTTCTTGGCCCTGTCATCCGGCTGGGTTGGGCCCTCCCTCTCTTGGGTCTGTCGTGAATTAGCCAGGACTGATTCTTCCTGGAGCCCTGTCTCCATGGGGCTGGACCAGGTCCCCAGCCCTGTCCCTGTTGGTCCACCTGCCCCGAGAAGTCCTCACAGCTCTCCTTCTAGGGAGGTGAAGGGGATTCTCGACATCTGGGCCTCTCAATCCCCCTCAGACCCAGCCAGGACCCCCAGACTCCAGGGGACACTCACCCTCCATCCCCTTCTCCTCCCCGATCCCGTGGCCGCAGACCTGCGGATGGTTCTGACGGTCATTGCCAGCATCCTCAGTCACGGGCGAGGAAGCACAGCATGCGTCCACCCACGACCCGCCCTTCCTTCCTGGCTGAGTCCTGACGGGGCCACGGGCAGCCCGGCTCCCTCGTGTCCCTGGCTCTCCCCGGGGTCCTCCCCAAGGACAGCCATGGCTCTGGTGACCCGGCAGGAGCCTGTCCCCGGGCAGCCTTTGCCATGAGGGCCACACAGCTCAGCCAGGAAGCCCAGAGGCCCTGGTGAAGGAGCCTGTGCCCCTGTCTATCCGGAGAGCTTGTCCTGGGATGCCAGGCCCTCTCAACGGAGGCAGGAATCACGGCCACTCACGGGGACCGAGGGACTCTCAGTGCCAGGCGGAGTTGTAGGAATTTATTTTTTAGCTCAAAATGGCGACACGTTGGCCCTTTCACACGATTCGGGCTAATCCGTGACACCGCTGTTTCCCAAGCACGTGTCCTCGCGTCCGCATCAGAGCCTGCGACCTTCACAAATCCGCAAACAAGGAGACCTCCCTTAGCACCTCCAGTGATGAGGGCATGGGCCCAAGTCCAGCTGCCATGCCCCACCCACTGAGAGAGCTTGCTGGAGCCCCCAAGCCCCTTGGAGCCCCCGTGCCCTTGTCCTTCACAGCAAAACTTTTCTTTGAGTGGGCAGGGATCAAACCAGATTGCGGAGTGGCCTTTGAGGCCATCAGAGCAGAGGCCGGGGTGGGGCCCGTGTCTCCTGCGTCCGTGACCTCCGTCCCTGAGTCAGCAGAGGCTGATGTGGCCCCGCGTCTCCTGCATCCGTGATTTCCATCAGGTGTCTACAGGGGCGGGTGTGGGGCCCACGTGTCCTGCATTCGCGAGCCCTGTCCACGAGCCAGGGCCGGGCAGCGCCTTCCCGCCAGGCCTCACGCGGTCGTCGGAGCAGCACGTGAGGTCGGGAGGCGACACCCTGAGCTCTCAGATGCCACATCCAAAGCTGAAGAAACCGGGGCTGAGGGAGGCGATGCCCCACGTCTAGCGTGGGCCAAAGCTGGCTCGAGGCCCCGGCAGACGCCATGCTCCCCTGGCACCCGGCTGACTAAGGCACAGCCAACACCTCCTTAAACACCAGGACCGGAGATGGCTCCTGCCTGGCATGCCCCGTGCGAACGCCCTGGCTGCCCCACGTGGACTCAGCCGTTCTTCAAAGCTCATCTCACTGGTGTTTAAACAGCCCCTGGCACCAAACGGGCCACGCCGTGGCTCACGTATTACCCACATATGCATTCTGCAGTCAAAGGGCCGGATCAGAGGCAGATGTACTTGTCAGGGCAGACAGGAGCCGCCTGCTGCGGACGCCCCCCGGGACACCATCCTTGAACTTTGAAGAATTGTCCGTCACACACGCGAGTCAGGAGTCTAGCTGGGAGAGGCCAATTCAAACAAGTCTACCGTCCTCAGAGGGGCACTCCCTGGTTCCCCTGGGAATTGGCAGGACCCGGGCAGGGTGGGCAGAGCATCAGGGTGACCTTGGCATGGGGAGGACACGAGTGCCACAGACACGTGGCGGGACAGCCATGCGCCTCACGGTCTGATGCGATGCTCCAAAAATGTCCTGGAGGACGCAGGCTGGGAATGGCCATCCCCAGGGTACAGATGGGGAAACTGTGGCCCAGCAGGTGTTATGGCCTGCCTGCGTAAGCCTAGAAGGCAGGGCTGCCCATGTCCAGGCCTACTGTCCCAGCGGCACAGGCTGGCTCCACTCTCCGGGTCCACCCTGCGCCAAGCAGTTCCTCCTGAACACCAGCTCAGGGCAGCGCCACTGGAACGCCCTGCGTCCCACGTGGCCTTCTTCTGCAGGCAGAGACCCCACCCTGCTCACTGAGGAGGGGAAACTCGAAACGCAGGCTAACAGCTCAGCCAGGGACATCCGAGCCATGACGGTCTTTCACCTTGCCTAGCGGTTTGCAAGGGAGAGAACACACGAATTTGTGTTTAAGCCTAAATCAAGGAAACACGGGTATTTCCCTTGGCCCCACGGGCAAAGTGAGACTCGCAGGTCAGGCCAGCACGGTGTCTCACGCCTGAACACTCTGGGAAGTCAAGGCGGAAGGGTCACTGGCGGCCAGTAGTTCCAGACCAGCCTGGACAACATTGCAAGGCCCCCACCTCTACAACAAAGAAAAAAATGACCGGGTGTGACAGCATGTGTCTGTAGTCCCAGCTGCTTGGGAGACCGAGGCCAGAGGACCCCTTGAGCCTAGGAGTTCGAGGCTGCAGTGAGCTATGATCGCGCCATTGCACTCTAGTCTAGGCAGCTGCGTGCGAACCTTCTCAACCAAAAAAGCAGAAGAAAAACGAGGGGGTGGGGGAAGGAGGGAGGGAAGAAGGGAACCGGGTGCCTCTGGGCTCCCTTGGGTGTGAACTGAGTCAGACAAAGGAAACGCAGATCACACACCATTTCCCCCAAGAGCTCCCTTGACCCTTCCCACGAACCCAAATGGCAGGTCTTTGTTCAAATAACCAACAAGCAAGCACATGCCTCCTGCAGGGAGTGGAGCTCAGAAGGAGACCCAGGCCCTACCCAGAGAATGCTGGTCTCTGGCGGTGGGTGGCAGTAAACAAACCAGGCCTGACCAGTGCCTCTGATGGGAGCAGGTTGTGTGCAGTCTAGGCTCTGCCCGGACCCACAAGAGCGGTCAACAAACACCCATCCCCAGAGGGGCACTCCCTGGCTCCCCTGGAAATCAGCAGGGCCCAGGCAGGGTGGGCAGAGCGTCAGGGCGACCTTGGCGTGGGGAGGACACGTGTGCCACAGACACGTGGCGGGACAGCCGTGCGCCTCACGGTCTGATGCGACGCTCCGAAAATGTCCTGGAGGACGCAGGCTGGGAATGGCCATCCCCAGCGTACAGACAGGGAAACTGAAACCAGCAGATGAGGCAAGCTTTGTGGACAGTTGCAGCCTTGGTTGGACACTCACAAGGCACATCGCTGGATTCCCTGCAGAAAGCTTCTGTGCACACCTGGCCCCGCTCTTACCGCAAAAGAGGGGCCACCCTGGGTGGAGAGTAAGAAAAAGGCACTAGGTATCCCTGAGGCAACCCCCTGCCCCCCAGCAAGGACATGGGCAGTAATGCCTCGGGGGGGAAACTCGGGGGAGCGTCATAGGGGAGGGGTTGGGGTAGGGCGGGCTGTGTGATGCCAGGCAGCTACCTCAGCTTCTCTGTGCCAGTTTCCTTCCCGTGAAATGTAAATAATTTATGAGGTTTCCACGAAATGACTCATTTCTCTAAAGCCCCTTGTCCTGGTGTCCCCAGCCCAGAAACTTTGCTCTGGCCTAGACACTGAGCCCAGAGAGGCCTGGCCCGGCCCTCACACCGCAGAGGCTGTGAAGCTGGCTAACCCACGGGCCAGTGCTGGAGCCCTAACCCCACAGGTGTAGGTCACAGGCTTCAATATCAGCCTTATCAGAAACACGCACAAAATATGTCTTCTCCCTATGACCTTCTCCTCAGACGGTCGGCGCCTGGCCCGGTGGGAAGGCGGGTTGCCCAAGCTCAGAAGACGCTGACGGCCAGCCCTAGGAGGGGAGGAGATGTCTGCTGATTCCTGTTGGTGCTCTAATGCTCACAACTCGTGTCTGGAATGACAGAAGGGGCTAGAGTTAGAAGGTCCAGAGCAGGGAAAGAGGAGATAAAGTCCCGTCTGCCTGGTCCCCAGGTCTCCAGGATGGGCGGTGCCCCCTGATCTTTCCCTGTGGGACACGCAGAGTGCGTGAGAAATCAGCCCCCGAGGTGGGACCTGTTTTGTCGCTGCAGCACAACCAAACGCATCCTGACTGACACAACCAGAATCTGTGAGATGCCTCAAAGGCGTCTCTCCTCATAAGAGAGCCTGGAATGACGGCCGGGATCTGAAAAGCACAGGGCTGGCTGGAGGGAACTCCCACGAGGGAACCCCTTAGAAAGTTCCAGTTAAAAGTCAGCCCACAGACGGAGGGAGCGGGTGTGCCAGGGAAAGTGAGGGACACGGGGCCTGGTCACCAGAGGAGAATGGCAGTGGCTCAGCCAGCAAGCGGCGGTCTCCTCCACGCCGTGCTGGCCTGCGGTGTCCAGAGGCATTCGCCCTCCGAAATCCAAGCTGCTTTTGCGCACGTAAGGGGTCGTCAGGGTACCGACAGGTGAGGGTGGATGGATGGATGGGCGCAGCACCGCCGGAATAGGCGTGCCGGAGGTGTGCGCCCACAAACCAGAGACCCAC